CTGACCTGTCACACACGTCACCACTCTTTCACTGCGTAGGAAGGAGATATCAGAAATGGGGACAAAGTTGTGTCAGCACCTCGTGTGTTTTGTGTTTTCCGAAGCCTGTTCTAACCCTGCGCTGCACCATGAAGATCAGCGAGCGCCTTCTTCATTGCCTGTTTAAACTGAGCAGACCTCGCTGATTCGAACAGCGTCCGGATTTGCAAGCACGTCTGTAAAATTGTGTCTGCATGTCCAGGTACCACGGCAGAGCTTTGACTGTCCCTGGCCAGTTCCTTTTCAGAGTCATACTTCTCCTTCAGAATTTCTACCTGACTCCACTCCGGTGTTTCTAGTTTATATATGAATACACCCTTTAGCGTTTCATCATACGACTCAAATTCCTTTGCTAATCTATTAAAATATTGCAATAGCTTCGACGGAGATGCTCCCTCTGTTCTCGTCCTCGCTAACTCCACCCTCAGGTTCGTCTTCACATCCAGTGCAGTGGATCCAAATCCCGGTTTATCGAGTTTGTACTTTGCTCCCTTCTTCGCCTTTTCGAGCATATCTTGCGCCTTCATCCAATGGTCCCTCGCCGTAGTGTCTATGTGCTGCCACCGCCCGGAGAAATACTGCTTCACAGCAGTCGCGACAGCGCTGTCAGGGTTTATAGCAGCCTCTCCTGACTCAGCAGTGCCGGCCTTTTTCTTGGTGGTTAGCATTTGCCGCAACACCTTGCTGGCAGATACGCCGGGTGCCTCTTCATATTTCCCGCTAATATCTGAATTCACAATCTGCAAGTAACGCCAGCACTCTTCGCCGTCGTCGATGGCAACTTCAGCAATTTTTGCCATGGCCTCATTCGCAGCGCTCGCCTCTTCCTTGGTGAGCGGATGGCGCTCCAGAGTTGCATGCAACTTGTTCTTTTGCACATCCAATAAGTATTTGAGCTTTTCGTTGAACAGCTTCGCGCTTTCGTACGCAGCGGAAACAGCAGTGTAGTCCTGCGCAGTATCCAGAGCTTGCAGAAACGCATCTTGCTGAACAAAGATATCTTGGACGGATTGTATATCTGCGTCTGTTATTCCAGAAGGTGGCATCCCCCCAGGTGCTCGGCGACTCTTTAACAATAGCATATGGAGTTTCCGAACCAACGTTGCATCCACCTCGAGCGGTATCCGGTTGACCTGAAGAATCCCTTTCATCCAAGTCTTTTGGAAATCTAGAATATCTTCTTTCAGTGCTTTGTCCAGCGCAGCCAAGCGCTCCACAGTTTCCATTCTAAACTTCATGGCAACGATGGCTGTGTAAATATCCACGAAAGTATACGGTTCGTACTCGTTTACGAATTGTGCTGACCTCAAGATCCTAAGCTGGTCATCATTCTCCTGTTTCAGAGTTACAGAGACATTTCTCAGCAAACCCAGAGTCTCTATAGATACCTTAACCGGCGTTGTATCTCGGCATTTCTCCAGTTGCTCCCACAAACGCTCGACATTCGTAAGAAAATGCCTCCCAGAGCAGCGCGCGTACATTTGCTCACCGTAAGGCTTTGCCATATTTACCAACTGCAATAGACCAATGCGGGACCCTTCAATGGATGAGTTTATTACATGGATGGCCTTATTCCGAATGCTTGGAAGGTTCGGATCGCTGCGACCCTCTGCAGTTTCGTATTCCCTTTCTGCCCTTTCAGCAGTTCGCAACTTCTTCTTTAATTCCTTGACAATATTTTGTGCCTCATCGCCTGGTAATTCATCTGCCATCCTGCTCGCAACGTCTACCAGACTGCTGACGAGGCTCCGCCGAGCCCTCAACCTTTGCATTTCCCCATCGACCGGGAACCCCGGGACAGGTGTGGGTTGTGGGATTTCGTGGGGCGGCACAGTGACGACTGCTGGAGGGACAGGAGGCTCCACATACGCCACTTCTGGCACGCCAGGCGCTGGACCTGGCGCTC